CCAAGCAAAACAGTCCATGAGTCTATTATCTTCAATTAATTAACCACCAGAAAAAGTCTTACTGGAGTGGCTCAAGTGCTAGCCTTGAGCAAAAAAGCTCAGAGACAGTATCCAGGCCCTGAGTTCAAGCTACAAGACTGGCTAAAAGAAGCATCCTGATGGAGAGGTAAATATGATCAAAATGAAAACATCATAAGGAAATTCATTTTAGTAAAGTTAACATATGCAAATTTAAAAATATTATATTTGTATGATGGGATACTATGTGGTAGAGAAAATATTTGAAATGTGTACAAACTGATATGGAAAGACCTCTAAGATACAGTTACTGTGGGAAGAATGTGAGAGATAGATAGATAGAAAATGTCTAATGAGCCGGGCACCGGTGGCTCACGCCTATAATCCTAGCTACTCAGGAGGCTGAGATATGAGAATCGCGGTTCAAAGCCAGCCCGGGCAGGAAAGACCGTGAGACTCCTATCTCCAATAAACCACTAGAAAACCGGAAGTGGCACAAGTGGTAGAGCGCTCGCCTTGAGCTGAAGAGCTGAGGGACAGCACCCAGGCCCAGAGTTCAAGCCCCATGACCGACACAAAAAAAAATGTCTAATGAAGCTCCTAAATGTCACTGAGCCTGTGCAACTGAAAGATAGATCCTGTGTGTGTGAGGAAATCTAAATAAATGCATCTGAAAACATAATCACCCTGCCTAAAAAGCTCATAAACATTCATTTAGTAACAGAACCAACACCTGCATTTAAAAAACGTGAAAGAGAAAAATGTCTCCTTACCTGGCTTCTAACAAGAGTGGTGAAGAGAACCACTTCGTTGTGAGAGAGGTTGTAATGGCTTTTGAATCTGCTTTTACTGAGGAGAGCAGCCACAACCCAGTGAGGGCAATCAGGATTCCCATTTTATAGCAAAGCCCTAAAAAGGAAAAAGATAATGTTAAATTCTTAGTTCTCTTTTCTCCCTATTTTAAGTTCTTAGTTCTTACAGATAGGAAACAACTTTAATACTTTGAGACACAAAGTAACATTAAAGTTACAGAAATAGAAAATGTTTCTGAAGAAAAAGAGCACTTATTACTTAGCCTCCAACAGATACCTGCTAAACACCTGACAAACTCTGATACAAAACTAAGGGTGAGTAGTTTATTACATTCTTCCCTAATGAGGTTTCAAAGCACTTTTGAGTACTCTGTATTTTAAAGCAAGTTAGTTACATAGTAGGTTCCATCAACCATACTTTATAAAACACAAGAAAAAAACTGAGACAGATGAAACTAAAATAATGGGTGTCACAGGATGAATTTTATCCTCCAAAAAAATGTTTAGGATGCACTTATTTATTTGGAGTACAGTATTTACAATGATGATCAAGTTAAGATGGTGTCTAGTCCAATATAGCTGGTGTTACAAAAAGAGGAAAGTTGGACTTGGAGACAGACACACAGAAGGAAATTGTGTGAACAGACACAGGGAAAATACCAGATGAAGATAGAGACAGACACTGCAAGCCTGGGGATTCCTAGGGCTACCATAGGCTGGAAGGCAAGGAAAAAACCACCCCACACAGTTTTAGAGGAAAGCAGTACCGCCAAACCACATAGGACTTGAAGCCTTCAAAACTGTGAGACAATACATTTCTGTTGTTTTAGGCCACCAAGTTAATGGTACCATGTTACAGAAAACAATTATAATGGGACTCAAAATGCTACTCATTCTGAAATGAGCAAATATAAGAATTCAATGCTTCCCAGGCCTACTACCTCACCTACAAGATGTGGAAGCCGCATGGCCAGTATGCCGCATGGCCACAGCAGGCAGTCTCTGGCTCCCCTTGGCAGCCTCTCTAAACCTGTCCAGGCCATTTCCAGAAAGAGGCACCTACAGATTCCTCTGTCTGATTTTTCATGACAGAGACCTGCATAACAGAACCTTGCTAGATATTCCCCCTGAGGTGTAAAAGCTCAACATCCACAGGTTGAGTGCTTGCCTAGTAGATGTGAGGGCCTAAGTTCAACTCCTAGTACAAAACAATAGGAAAAAAGTCAGGCCTGGTGGTGCAAGTCTATAGTCCCAGCTACACAGGAAGCTGAGACAGGTTCAGATTGCTTCAACCTTAGAATTCAAAGTCAGTGGGCAACAATGTGAAATTGCTCAAAAAATGAGCATCCAGGTCCCATCAGACAGAGAAGGACCAAGAGGCTAAAAGTGGAAAGCACAAGCCATTCCTGTGACCATACAGTCTCACCCCTGTGGCTCCGTGGTGCTTATGTAATCTAATGAGGGGAAAGGTCAGCAATAGCTTCTTTGGGGGAATTAGTAGCTTCTTTTTTATTGAAAGTATTATCATTTGTGCAACCTGCTGCTTCTTGCAATACACAGTCTTTGAAGAGTAACAGGCAAAGGCAACATAAATTACAGCAAATAGAAAAGTGACTTTTAAAAGAATTTGAAAACAAAGACACTGCCAGCTCCTGTAGAAACAAACAAAAATAATCTGAATATCCTATCTGAAGTTCTAAAAAAAAGTTCTAAACAATGGACTATTATTATAGGTTCTACAGAAACAAAAAGGACACATGCAAAAAATTAAAACCTACTAAAAACAGCTTTATACCACACGAGAACTCTGATAGCGCAATGTAGGAGCACTGATTCCTGGCTGAAGGAAGGTGGATATAGCATATGGATCAGAATTTAGGAACTATGCCTGTGCGTTGTGGCCTTGGAAGCCTGCTCTATATGATAAAACACGGTTCATAAAAAGAGAAAATCTGTTATGAGGGTCAGGCAAGCTGTGACCAAAAATTCCTGAATTTGCTACTTGTTTTGTTTTTTGCCCCTAGCACTCTTGCTTTAGATATTATTCAAACAAGGTCTCCAATTTTTGCCTAGAGCTGACCTCAGACCATGATTCTTCTACTTTCCTAGGAATACAGCTTTGTATTACCACATTCAGCTTATTTGTTGAGATAGGACTTGGTAATTTTTTTCTCTAGGCTGGGCTCAAACTTTGATACTAATGATATCTGCCTTACTAGGAGCTCAACCATAAGTAAATAGCTATCTTCCCTGGCTCTGTATCTCCCAGGCTATAAAAAAGGAATGACAGCATCTTCTACATAGGATCACTGTGAGAATTAAATGGTAATATGAAAATAACTTTGTAAAGTGCCAAGAACTGTACCAGAACCATTGTAGTAAGACATTTTATCCTAAGAAAAAATACCTTCCAAAGTATAGACTGGCACATCACCAAAAACATGCCTTGGAAAATATGCATGTCCTCTGTGGTTAGGAGAAAAGAAAAGGCCTCCTTCCACAATCTCTGACTATAATCTTTATGTAACTGAAGTAGCTAGACAGTAACACCAGGCAAACAGCAAGCAGTGACAGAAAGCACGTTAGGTGCTCTATGTATACTACGGGACCTAATCTTCACACACAATAACCAAGAGACTGAAGCTCTTTGAAGACTACAACCGTGGGGCTGGGAAGGTGGCTCAGTGGTAGAGTACTTGCCTTGCATGCATGAGGCCCTGGGTTTGATTCCTCAGTACCACATAAGCAAAAAGAAAAAAAGCCGGAGTGGCACTGTGGCTCAAGTGGTAGAGTGCTAGCCTTGAGCTGAAGAGCTGAGGGACAGCGCCCAGGCCCTGAGTTCAGGCCCCACGACCAGACCCAAAAAAAAAAAGAAATGAAGACTACAACCCTGTCTACTTTGTTAACCACAGAACAGCATGGTGCCTGGTACACAGTAGGTATTCTATGAATATGTTGTACAAATGAAGTATTGCCATCACCACTTTAAAGATAAGCCAATGAAAGCTCAGAGGGCTTTTACTCTTTCATCCATAGGTACACTGGGCAACTAATAATGGCAATGTTGGACCCTCTATCAGCCTGTTTTGGAAGTTTTCAGTATCATGCTATATCCCAAAGCTATATGGTTTTAGAAGAGGTAACAATCTAATTGTACAGGTGCAGATTGTGCAGCGTGCTTTACTGTAAGAACTAAAGCAAGTCCACAGCTTTCCTATAGGCCAAGTTCTCACAAATGACATAGAGGAATAGTTTCAACCAAAAAACAGAAGAGCAGGCCTGAAGCTGGGACAAAAGCCAATTTCCCAATCAGCATGACAGATCTCTACTTAGGGTGGCTTCAGGAACTGTATACAAACTCCTCAAGAGCAACGAGTTTTGTCCATCATCATCACCATGTCAAGCATATCTGGAATGCAGGAAGCATTCACAATAAAAATAAATCCAGGCTTCATCCATCAATGAAAGTAACAACATAAAAAGGAATGTGTCAATAATGGTTGACATTAGGACTGAGCTAAACAGTGGCTCTCATTTATAATTCCAGCTGAGAATTATGAAAATAAGGCTGAGATCTGAGGTTCAAGGTTCAAAGCCTTCCAGAAGACAAAACTGATTCTTAGCCAGAAAAAAAAGTGGTAGAGCACCAGCCATGAATGAGAAAGCAGATCAAATGAGGACCTGAGTTCAAGCCCAGTACCCAGTACTGACATACTGCTACACATATGTGTGTACATACACAGTCTTGGACTATAAACAGAGTAAAAATGAAAATCCTGTGTACATATGACTAACCCAACCATCCTTTGCATTGTTTGAAAGTACATGTTCTTGAAGAGAGTTACCTTTAGAGATGAGAATAAGATGAAAGAACAAGATGAAAGCTGTGTATTCAACAAGAGGTTTGCCAGTCTAATCACATATACTTGACTCCACAGGTAATAGCAGAGGAAAAGATATCCAGAAGCTGGGCACTGGTGGCTCACACCTATGATCCTAGCTACTCAGAAGGTTGAGATCTGAGGATCATGGTTCAAAGTCAGCTGGGGCAGGAACGTCTATGAGACTCTTATCTCCAATAAACCACCAGAAAACCGGAAATGACACTGTGGATCAAGTGGTAGAGTGCTAGCCTTGAGCTGAAGAGCTGAGGGATAGTGCCCAAGCCCAGAGTTCAAGTCCCACGACCAAGGAAAAAAGAAAATGTCCAGAGAAAAAGAGATAAGAACCTCATTGAAGTGGTCTTTTAAGGATGCCTTCATTTTATGAGATCCAATTCTGATCCTAGTGATTCTTAAATGTTACTGATAAAGTTGAATCATCTGAATGACAACAAATGTCAGAATACTCAATATGGCAATACACTGGTGGTGGTTGATGGATAAACAGAACACACTCTAACAATCTCTAGGACCAACTTAATCTTTAAGAATCTAGTACATTTCTATTAAAATATACTCCGGTTCATTTATCTACAGAAAAATAAACTAAAAAAGGATGTGGTGGTACATGCCTGTAATCCCAGCATTAGGGACTGAACTACATAGCAAATTCCAGGCCATCCTGAGCTATATAAGGAGACATTGTCTCAAAAAGAAAAGAGAAAAAAAAAAGGATACAGGAAAAAATTAAGTATATATGGTATATGTTTATTGTTGGGAGCGGGGTTGTTTGGTGCCAGTCCGGGGGCTTGAACTGAGTCACAGCTTCACTTCCGAATTAGAGATAGGAGTTCAAGCAGAGGACTGGCAAAAGGTGATGAACCAGCCTAGAGCAAAAAAGCTCAGGGACCGCAACTTAACCCTGAGTTCAAGCTCCAGAACTAGCATTTAAAAAAAAAAAGTTTCAGCCAAGTTTATTAAAAGCAAGTCAAGTAGAAAGGCTGTATTATTTGAGACTTCCAACAGTCGCATGCTATTTAAAATGTCTTCAAATGCTAGCCAGTGAAGAAGTTATTTCTAGAAAAGAAGGCACTTTATACTAAAACTGGCTGGCAACTACACCGATAAACGGTTCTAAAACACAGCCAGGTGGAAGACCCAAGTCTTAAGCTGGACAAAATGTGCTCCTTTTCAAGTGAGAAAACAAACGCAAAACAAGTTGAAGATTTTGCCAAAGGAGGAAACCCGACCGTAACACACTGGCGATGTAAGCGAGCCTTGTTCGTCGGCAGGATTCACACTAAGAAGGAAACTGACCGTCCAATAGCGGCCCACAAACTGTCAGTAAACCAAAGCTGCCAACCACCGGGACCGGCGGAACTCATCCGGTGAACTGGCCGGGACATCCTCCGCCGGCGCCCCACACCGCGCTGGGCCCAAACCTCAGCCGGGCCAGGCTGGATCTCATTGCAGGCGAGGGCGCGGCCCCGGACACCGTGAAGAGAGCCCGGGGCCGCCCGGGGCCCCGACGGCGTCTTCCGCAAGGCCACTGGGGACAAGTTGAGTCAGTTGCAACGGCGGGAAAGGTTGTGACACTGCAGGGGAAAACTCAGTCCGGACAGAGACGGAAGCCCCAGGTGGCACGGGCACCCCGCGCCTCCGGGCACCCCGCGCCTCCGACCTCCGCTCCGTCCACGAGGCCTTCCCACGCCAGCCCCAAGTACCTGTCACCCGCCGCGCAGCCGCGACACGCGCGGCGCTCGCGTCCCCCATGCCCGGGCCGCGTTTCGTCCACGACAGTGCCTGCGACGACGCCTGGGAGGGGCGGGACGCGGCGACAACGGAGGAGGCTGCGCCAGTGAGAGGCCGACACGCGCCTCTCCCGCCGGCGCCGCTGGCCCAGCCGGTCTCAGAGCTACAGCCCGCGGCTAGTCGCCTTTGACTTCCGCTTCCTGAAGGCGAGGGCCGGAGGATTTCCGGCCACCGAGTTGAGGCGGAGGCATCCTAGAGCGCCGGTCCCCGTGGCCACCATGTTCTCTGGGAGGAAGCCCCGCCCCTCGCATTGGGCCCACCCTCACGCGCTGGCCCCGCTCTTGGGACAGCCCCTGCAGGCCGCGGCTTCGCCGATTGGCCGAACCGCGAGCGGACGTCAGCCTTCGGTATTTGAATTTGGCTCTACAGTCGACTTATTCTCTTGTCATAAAATCTCTGCTACGGCCAGGCGCCAGTGGCTCACGCCTGTAATCCTAACAACTCCGAAGGCTGAGATCTGAGGATCACCGCTCAAAACCAGCTCGGGCAGGAAAGTCCTTGAGACTCTTATCTTCCAATAAACCAACATAAAACCGGAAGTGGCCACGTGGCTCAGTGGTAGAGCGCTTGCCTTGAGCAGAATAGTTCAGGGATGGCCCCCAGGCCCAGAGTTCAAGCCTCACGACCTCCCCCCACCTCCCCTCAAAAAAGTTCTGCTACAGAACTTTTGCACAATTCTCTTAATGTTTCTGAATGGTAGGGACATTTTAAATCCTACCAATCCACAGGGATTCACTTGTACTTTTCTTTTTGAGATCTAAGTCACAGAAATTTGATTTAGAATATTGACCCTGGAACCGGGCGCCAGTTGCTCACACATGTAATCCTAACTGCTCAGGAGGCTGAGCTCTGAGGATCATAGTTCGAAGCCAGCCCAGGCAGAAAAGTCACCGTGACACTCATAGTTCCAATGAAGCCAGAAGTAGTACTGTGGCTCAAGTGGTAGAGCACTAGCCTTGAGCACCAAGAGGCTCAGGGACAGCGCCCAGGCCCAGAGTTCAAGCCCTACAACCGACAACAACCACAACAATAATAATAATACATGTAAAATTGGCTTAAAAAGAAGGAATTGCAAGAAGGATGAAGATGGTTGAATATGGTGGAAGTGGACTATTTGCCATTGTGAAACTATTTGCCATTGTGAAACCTGTTGAAATTGTTTTAGGAAGGGGGGAAAAGAGGACTGAGTGATGGGAAGGGTGAAATGGATTAGAATACATTGCAAATATGTGTGGATATTTAGAAATGAAATCCCACTCTGTATAATAATGTAACCTAATGGAGAAAAAAAAAGGAAGGAATTAAACATTTGGATTGCTAATAACAAGAAGAAAAGAAGGGAGAGAACACCCAAGCCTATGTTAAGATCAGAAACCTGGTTCTAAAGGCAGCTCATAGCTGGGAATACTAAATTATATAAATGTGGAACTTAGATGGAGTATGCAGAACCTGCAGAGCAAATGCTATGGTGTGACTATCATTTGACTGTGTCCCACAAAGTTCCATGTTCTGGAAGCTTGGTCCCTAGTTTGGTGATGATGAGGTATGATCCTTGAAGAGGTTGGGCCCAGTGGAAAACAATTAGGTCATGAGAGTACCAGCCAATTGGCAAGGATTATTGCTGGTCTCACAGAGAAAGTTTATTCTACCAACAGCGAATAATAAAGAGAGCAAAGCTGGCTCCTAAATCTTTTTGGCTTCTTGTCTCACCACATGATTTCTTATATAAGTGTGCCTTCCATTGTGATGCATGTGCCATGAGGCCCCCATCAGTGTCCAAACAGATGGGATCACACAATCTTAGACTTCTAGACTCCAAAACTGTAAGCTGAATTAGATAGATAGAAGATATCTTTATCACTTATATCATCCAGCCTCAGGTAGTTTGTTATAGCAACAGAAATCCAACTATAACAAGTAAGTCAAATTGAATTCACTGCTGAGAGGACTCCTACATACACTTTTGAATAAACCGAATGTATTATATGTCACTTGTAAGGATTTATAAGGGTATGCACTCGGTCAAGAAATGAGTTACAGAGAACAAAGTTGGATATTAAGACTTGTTTTCAATTGGAAAATAAATACAATCAACAGATGTTTATAGTGATACACAGCACATGCAAAAAGGGTGATTTATTTGAAGGCTACTATTTTCACTTTAAGTTGTTAAATTGACCATGTACACAAAAGACAATGTGATCACTAAATGATTGCTTTCCATAGACTGCCCATCCCAGGAAAAATCTGTTCAGCCATGAACCACAGAGGTTGTCCTGTTGGAATGTAAAAAGAGGAAATCACTGGAGCCAAGATTTGGGGTCCCACTTTCTTCTAATAATTAGATTGGGGTGGGGGGAGAAATTGGAGGAAAATAAGCTGTAGAACAAAAGTGAGTATCCTTAGAAGAGCAGATACCTTCTAAGCATTTTTTCAGGTGGTAAGAAGACCTCCCAGAAATTCTTAGTCACCTACTCCAAAACTCATTCATGTCCATTGTCAGGCACACTATATGCTTTTCTAGAGCTAGGAATGAGCAATAGAGAGGCTGATTGCATCCATCTCATGTGGCCCCTGGCATCATGAATCAGGACTCCCTCTTGCCAATGTGTGTCTGCAGATCTTGCCACCAAGAGGTGGAATCTGTATGTTCACCCTTTGAATGTGTGTTGGCTTATGACTTAAGATGATACACAGGAGTGTGTGTGTGTGTATGTGAGTGTGTGTGTGCACCCACACACACATTCCAATTCTGGGGCTTAAACTCAGGGCTCAGAGCCTGGGCACTGTCCTCTTGCTTTTTTGGTCAAGGCTAGCGCTATACAACTTGAGCCACAGCTCCACTTTGGGCTTTTTGCTGGTTAACTGAAGGTAAGAGTCTCACAGATGCTGCTGCCCACGCTAGCTTCATACTTCAATCCTCAGATCTCAGCCTCCCCAGTAGCTAGACTTACAGGTTTGAGGCTTTGGTGCCCAGCCTTCCTTGTATAGCCATTGAATTTTAAAATATTGGAATATCACCTGTCTAAAAATACAAAATGAACTTGCTTTCACAACATTTCTAGAGTTGGGGTATATGTTGCTCAAAAGTAGAGTGGATTGATGAGGGCCTGGGTCCCTCAGCACTATAAACAACCCCAAAAAACATGTTTCAAAAACAGCCAAATAAAGTGGAAAGAAAGGAGAGAGGAGGCCCAAAATTTGCAGATAAAAGCTAAAGGTAGGGGCTGGGAAGGTGGCTCAGTGGTAGAGCGCTTGCCTTGCATGCTCGATGCCCTGGGTTCGATTCCTCAGCACCAGATAAGCAAAAAGAAAAAAGCCGGAAGTGGCACTGTGGCTCAAGTGGCAGAGTGCTAGCCTTGAGCTGAAGAGCTGAGGGACAGCGCCCAGGCCCAGAGTTCAGGCCCCTCGACCGGACCCAAAAAATAATAATAATAAAATAAAATAAAAGCTAAAGGTAGGGCCTGGGAAGGTGGCTCAGTGGTAGAGCGCTTCCCTTGCATGCCTGAGGCCCTGGGTTTGATTCCTCAGCACCACATAAGCAAAAAGAAAAAAGCCGGAAGTGGCACTGTGGCTCAAGTGGCAGAGTGCTAGCCTTGAGCTGAAGAGCTGAGGGACAGCGCCCAGGCCCAGAGTTCAGGCCCCAGACCGGACCCCAAAAAAAAAAAAAAAAAAAAAGCTAAAGGGAAAGAAAAAATCACAAGCTACCTGCTATGGTTTGAATATGGACACTGTCCCTAGAGGTCCATCTATAAGCTTTATCCCCCAGGGGACAATCTTTGGAGGTGCTGTGGACTTCAAGAGGTAGGGTTGTAGTCTAGGCACCATGATGCGTATCTGTAATCTCAGCTACTCAGGAGGCAGAGATCTGAAGGAGCAAGGTTTAAGGCTCAGCATAAAGTTAGCAAGACCTAACCCCAATAAACAAGCCAGATATGGTGGTGTTCATCTGTAATTTCAATACTGCAGGCGGCATTGGTAGGAGGACAATAGTCCAAGGCTAACTTTGACCAAAACAAGAGATCCTATCAGGAAAAAACTAGAGCAAATAACAGATTGTGTTGTTGGTGCCCTGCATCTTGTATATACATTTTTCTAATTTGGGGAGGGGAAGGAAATAACGAAATACTGAAACAAGAATACAGGATGACCCATTGTAACAATAAGATGTAGAAAATGAACTTTACAACTTGGTGGGGGGGGGGAGAGAGGAAAGGGATGGTAGGGGAAAAACAAAAGAGGAGATAACAATGCTCGATAGGAAATGCACTCATTACCTTATTCATGTAACTGTAACCCCTCTGTACACTATTTTTACAATAAAAAAACATTTTAAAAATTAAGTGGCTCAAATAGCAGGACATCTGTATGTCTAGCAAGCACAAGTCTTGAGTTCAAACATCAATACCACACAAAAATAGAAGTAGGAAGGAGGACCTTGTGGTCCTCCTTAGGTCATTGAAGATGTGTTCCTGAAGAGAGCTGTAGGGCCTGGGTCATCTCTCTGTCTCTCTGTCTCTGTCTCTGTGTCTCTGTCTATCTGTCTGTCTCTCTCTCTTTTTCTCTCTCAACTCTCAAGCAACACTCCAACCATGCTCAAATAAATGTGCCTTCCAGGGCTGGGAAGGTGGCTCAGTGGTAGAGAGCTTGCCTTGTATGCATGAGGCCCTGGGTTCGATTCCTCAGTACCACATAAGCAAAAAGAAAAAAGCCGGAAGTGGCATTGTGGCACAAGTGGTAGAGCGCTAGCCTTGAGTTGAAGAGCTGAGGGACAGTGCCCAGGCCCAGAGTTCAGGCCCCACGACCGGACCCCCCCCCCCAAAAAAAAAATGTGCCTTCCAATCTTGGACTTGACCATCTGGAACCAAAACACACCTCCCTTTATTTCCATAGTAGCCCCCATCAGATAGTTCATTCTAGTAATTCAAAGGGACACACTGGCCCACCTGTAAGACACAGGCTGCAGTAGTCTGAAGCCAGCAATGTGGGGCAGGAAATTTAACAGGTATCAGCCTCCTCCCCTATATAGGAAACCCTGAGTCCACAACCTGACTAGCC